GGCGGCACCCCTCACGCAGATCTGTAGGGTCAGGGTCCAAAAAACACATGGGATTTGCCACATTTCTGAAATTCGGCGGCACCGCACACGCAGATCCGAAGGGTCAGGGTCCAAAAATACATGGGATTTGCCACATTTTTGAAATTCGGCGGCACCCCTCACGAAGATCCGTAGGGTCAGGGCTGAAAAACAAACAGGTCCCAACCTGCTTCACGGCGGCGCCCAGACCTCATGACTTCGCTCTTCCATGGCCCATTCTCCGAGAGAGGAGGCCGGCGGCAGGGGGCGAAGCCCTTACGGGTAAAAATATTCAAAACATACTTGAAGAGAAACTGTCAATACTGATCAAAAAATCATCTCCACACTATTTGTTAACTACTTTTGAATATTCCTCCTGTGGAGGGACATGCCCGACGTAACGTTAGTGAGTACCCATCTCAGTGCCACTGAGGATCGACGACGCCTCGGGAGCCAGCAGGGCAGTGCGTTGCACGCGAGTCGTCCGCGGGCGAAAGTCGAGCGAGGTCCTGTGGCATGCCACTGCTGCTGAGAGAGAGAGAGAACAAAAAAAAAAGAGAGATAGCGAGAGCGCGGCACGGCTCGCACTGCAGGTCTAGCCCTTCGGGCTCAACTAGTTGCCGCGATACAGTAGGAGCCCGACCACAAGAGACCTTCCACAAGAAACCCAACCCTGAGACCCCAGGACGTCCATGGATGTTTGGTGTGGGAGCGTCACGCTTCCCATAGCAACACCATCGAAACACAAGAAACCCAGGGCACCCTGGAGGCAAGCAAGGTGTTTCTTGGCATGGGTCTCCACTGTACCCCTCATCTCCTACCTCCAGTCCTCCTGGGGGGGTTATACCTTGAGCAGGGCTGGGGGGTCAGGTCCGCAGAGCACCCCAAAAAGACGTCAAGGGGCGCAACCAACCTGTTCGGTCAAGCTGCGATTGATGCACCACACCAGGCGTCAAGCCAAAACTTCGGACATAGGCGAATGGTTGGACTTTGCACATGTTCGTCGGCTTACCCGGCGAGGCGTTTGACCACCTTGACGTCCATTTTTTGATGTTCCTGCAGAGAAAGGCGCTTTCTGACCCTCGGCTCTACTCAAGTGATACCCCTCCCTCTGGAACGAAGCCCAGAGATCTGCAAACTTTTCGTTCCACGGCTGTCGCCTTCTCGCCGCCTCTGTTGCGCTGAGCCTCCGAAGCCTCAAGGTGGGCAGCGGGGCCCATCAGGGCCTCGAGAGGGCCCCGCGGGCCCCCAGTCCAGGCGGAGGTGCCTCGGGCTCCAGACGGGCAAAGGTTCCCTTCGGACTCCCGAGATGGGGGGCCGCTGGCCTTCGTGCGGTCCAGCGACGGCCCGAAGAGGGCTCACGTCACGCGAGGGCCGCAGAGACCCGATGAGGGAGCTGGCAGGCACAGGCAGGCCGCAAGGGAGCCGACGAAGGCGAGGACACATGCTGGTAGCCGTGCCTCCTCCTCCACGAGGGCGAGGACACATGCTGGTAGCCGTGCCTCCTCCTCTTCCTCCACCACCTCCTCCTCCTCCTCCGCCTCTTCCTCCTCCTCCTCCAGCCAACGAGGGCGAGGACACACGCTGGCAGCCGTGCCTCGGCAATTCCGGCACCGGCCTGACGCCGCCCGCGGCATGCCTCTGCACGGCTGCCGCAGCCCGTCGCCCGCAGGCAGGCCCCTCCCCGAGAGGGCCCTCGGAACAGCACCGCAGGGCGACGTCTGTGCCCCGCGCGCCACCTGAGGCAGCCGACGGCGGTCGAGGCGCGCCTGCACGGATGCCACAGTCTGTCGCTGCCAACTCCGTCGCTCCCCACTAGAAGACACACACACACAACGCATTGACCGTAGCCATCCGAAGGTCCACGCGCATTGCTGGGCTCGGCGCTGAACCGCCTCCCCGCTCCCCTGGCGGCGCCTCCAGCGCCGCTCCAGGCGTTGCGCGCGCAGGCGAGGGCGTGCGGGGAGGGGGGTCACCGCCGACAGAGGAGATCCGCGGGACATCCGAAAGTGTACGTTTGTATCGTGCCCTGGTGTTCTGGAGATGTGGCGGAGAGCAGGGAGGGGACTCCCTACCCTCTGTGGGCGAGAAGCGGCGGACAGAAGGAAGGGCAAGGCAGCGAAGGCGGGAAGCGCAGCGAGAGTCACGGGATCTGCCACCCTGCCTGCACGATCTTTGGTGGAGCATGAGACTGCTTGTTAGCTGCCCGCAAGCCGAGACAATCCCAAGGTAGCCAAACGACCCATTCGAAGGCTTCAATCTGGTCCCCCAGAGGCTCCGAAGAGATACCCAACGAGGCTTCCAGGGATACCCTCAGGAACCAAAACACACTAAAGACACAAACGAAATCGAGCGTGCTGTGCTTCAAAGATTGTCAGGGGAAGCTTCAGCGAGCCCCGAGAACCCCCCGAAACAATATGAGCCGGCCCCCGAAAATTCCCCCCAGCGGCCCGCGAATCCCAAGAGCGCTCAAGAGAGCTCCTGGACAATCCCTGGACCCCCCCTGGACGTCCACAAGATGATTCAACCAGGCCACTTTCTTCGGGAGAGCTCAGTATCTTGGAACCGACCCCTATCCCCATCCCCATCCCGAGCCCCACCATTTCAGCATCCCAGTTGGGGATATACCCCTCGAAACCCGAAGGAAACAGCATCTATCCTCATGTAGGCGGGCAAATCGGCAGGCCACGCAGGCCACGCCCATGGGGACAGGGGCCAACCACGCTCAAGAGCGAGTGGAGAGGGCGAGGAGGGGACGGCGAGGCGGGAGCTGCACTGAAGGAGGAATGGCTGCGCGCACAAGGGCATAGTGCGACGGGGGTGGCCTTCTAAGAAAACAGCAGGTTTCTTACAAGCCCTCCTGCCTTCTAAAGAATCCAGATGGGAGCCTCGCAATCCTTCTGAATAGCACCCAGGCGGGGTGAACCAGGGCAGAGTAGCGATGTGCGACCAAATGGCACCACGCCGGCGGAGGACAACCAGTGGAACAACGCAACGGAAGGTGTGATGAAAGCCGTGCCAGATAGGAATGGCACGGCGCGGAGGCCAGGGTTGACCAAGTGGGTCGGGCATGTCCTCCTACAGGCGGATTTTGAAGGAAACTTAAACATAGTCCAGAAAGAGTCACAAAAGCAGAAACCCGATGGATTAAGACAAGACAGCATCCGCCAAAGATGTTCGAATAACATTTCGCGCAAAACACAGAGGGTTCTTAGGATGATGTCGCTTCCATCGTAAATACCCAAGGACACAGAAATTATTTCGAGCATCCCCAAAACAGATCGAAACAATGTCGAAAGAATATCGCTTCCCAGGGCCCGACACGTGAGAACCATCCAGTTTCGTTACTTTCTCGGTGCTCGAAATTCACTCTGGCGATCAAGGCTAAAGTAGGTTGGAATATCAGGGAGAGCGCGCTTCACGGGCGCTTGCCTTGAGAAACATTCGGCGGCGCGTTTCGAACCGGGGGGTGCCCCCCCCCCCAAAACACTCGGCGCCGTCGATCAGAACCAGGAGGACTCCCCTCCCCCCTAACCCTCCCCCCTCCCGACCCCCCCCCCCCTGGCGCCGGCGCCGGCGCCGGCGCTGGCGGCCCCCAGCACCGCCGACGGCGGGGACGCAGCGACGATGACCAGAGGTAGCCCAAGAGAGGGGGGAGGGTCCAAACCACCCCGCCGGCGCCGGCGCCGCCGGCGCCTGCAATGGCGGCGGCCAGCAGCGCAGCGCCGACGGCGGCACCACCACCACAAACCACCACTACCACCACCACCACGGCCAACTCAACCCACCACCACTACCACCAACCAGCCACCACAACCACCACCACCACCACCACCACCAACCCACCACCACTACCACCAACACCACCACCACAAAACAACCACCACCACTACCACCACCACCACAACCACCTTAACCCACCACCACCACCACAACTACCACCACCACCACCAGAAACCACCGCACCATCACCACCGCCACCACCACCACAATCTGCCACCACAACCACCCCAACTACCGCCACCACCACCACCAACCACACCACCACCACCACCACCACCACCGCCACCACCACCGCCACAACCACCACCACCACCACCAGCACAGCCCACCACCACCACCACCACCACCTCAGAGGCCCCAAGAGACGCCCAAGAGGCGCCCAGGAGGCTGCACATATGCCCTTCAGAGGCCCCCGAAAGCCCTCCGACGAGACCCCAAGAGGCATCCATCAGGACTTTGATCCAAGACCAAGGCATGGTGGCGGAGCGTCGTCGTCGTCGTCATCGTCGTCGCCGTCGTCCTCGTCGACGCTCCCCCTCGCCGCCGCCCGCCGCCGCAGGCGCCGGCGCCGGCCCAGAGAAGGAAGTCGTCAGCCCCACTGCCGCCGCCAGCCGCCGCCGACGCAGGAGCCGGCCCGAGGAGAGAGAGAGAGAGAGAGGAGAAATATGGGAGGAGGGGGAGGAGAGGGGCGGGGTTCGAACCCCCCCCCTCAGTCATGGGAGTGGGGGGGGGTCCGGTTTCAACCCCCACCCCCTCTAAGCGACCACAGAACGCGCTTCTTTGAATATCATATCTTAGGACATTCTTCGGTGGGCCCATGGGGAGCAAGGACGCTTCGCCACTGCTTGAACAGCGCCATCACGCACCGTCCATGGACACATCGATCGCAGGGTGAGGACGTTGCTCGACGCCTGCTCTGGATGCCCTGCCGACTCCTCGGACGCACGTGGGCGAATCATGAGCCCCAATCCCCAGCCTTCCCAGCACGAGCGAACAAAGGCGCGAGAGTGATGCATATTCGGGGTACCCTCCCCCAGGATGCACAAGAACGTCCAACAAACACGAAGAACATAAGGGCACCCTCCCCAGACCGACCTCGATCTCATACCTCGGTCCGACTGTACGGTGAGACACGTGACTGACTTGATTTCGAGGACGGGATCCTTTTCGTCGCAGGCGCGCACCAGAGACCAGCCTGGTCAGGCCGCAGCACGCCGCCAGCTGGCTTGGCGCTCCTGCGGCAAGAACGCCTCGTCGGCTAGCAACCGCGCCGACTCCCCGCCGCCGAAGGCCAGCCACAACTCCGCCTCGGCCCCAGCGGAGCCGTGCCCCGCTTCCTCCTGGCAGCTGGCGACATCCGAACCTTACCCCGCACCAACCATACTCTACTGAATCGATGGGGGCCGGGGGTAAGGTTCGGTTTTTGCCGGGTGTCAGACGAATTCTGAAGCCTACCCGTAGGTCGGGCGTGTCCCCATACAGGCGGATATTGGACGAAAAATAAAGAATATCCCCAAAAATACCAACAAGAAAACAACAAAATTAAACAATCGTCCCCAGACTATTGTTTGACTATCTTTGAATCTTCCTCCAGTAGGGGGACAGGCCCGACTGAAGCCTAGCCCCGCCTCCCATCGAGTTGCCTTCATTATCGATCGGCGAGCCCAGGCCCTCGACGTCGTGCTTCTTTTGTCACAACGTCGACCCCCCGAGGTCTGGACCCCTTCCCCGGGACCCGTTCTGCGCCCAGGGTCTACTTCTGACGGTCGCGAGGCCAGGCGCGGGCCCCCAGAGGCCGAAAATGGCCAGAAAAGTCTCCCGTCGCGACTTTGTTTCGCATCGCGAGGGGGTCTGCGAGGGGCTCTGCGAGGGTAGGGCTCGGAGTCCGCCGCCGAGCCTCGGTGGACGCTGCCAGCGGCTGCCTCAGGGCGCGGGCGATGCGCCGGGCCACTGTCTGCCTCATGGAGCCCGCGGTGCCGGCGTCCGGGAAGGCGTCGGGGAAGCGGCGGGCGAGCCACTGGTCCGCCACCGCGTCGCGAGGCACAGGTCGGAGGGCCCACGGCACGCACAGAGGTTGATGGGCCTGTTTTCCACCACCACCACCAGAAGTTGGAAGAGGAGGAGGAGGACCCTTTCCCCATCCAACTTATGAACTTATGGTGGTGGTGGTGGTGGTGGTGGTGGTGGTGGTGGTGGTGGTGGTGGAAAACACGCCCATCGGAGGTGGGCGCCCGGGTGGCCATTCCTGGAAGCTGGGCACGCGACGTCCCAGAAAACAAAACGCCGGGGTGTCAGACACGAGAAGGCCGCAGCCTCGGAGCCGCGCGCCGCGCCGGCACGAACCCGGTGCCCTCCGCCAGCTTGCCTCCGGAGGCCTGCCGGGGGGTCCGGCGCCCGCGAGTCGCAGTGCCCTCAGGTTGGAGGTCACTGGGGTGGAAGCGCTGCTTCCAAGGCCAGATTTGGCGGCGCGCACAAGGGGGCAGGGGGAGGAAGGGGGGCGGCTTCTTAGAAGGAGGCTGCTTCTTAGAAGGCGCGGGCTTTACATCTACAAAGAAGGCCCGCCGCGCCTGAGAAGCAGGGGTGCTTCTAAGAAGCCTCCCCCCCTCTCCCTACTCCCCCAATGCGCTCGGCTGGCGCACTCGATCCGTCAATAGCGATCCTTACGACCCCCATGCGCGAGCAGCTCTGATCGCAGGTTTGCTTTTACCTACGATTGGGCTGATTAGGTGTGCTCTTGTCCTGCAAGCATTGCCTCCTCATCCGTCGCCACAGAAACACATATAGAGCTCAAGCCCTCAGCGAGCTTCAACCATCATGTCTGTTTGTAGTCCTCATGGGAACCCAGCGCGCATACATACACCAAGGTATCTGGGCCCTGTCCCACGAGGCGTCGCAGAAATGCAACGGGACAGCACATGTAGTTCATGATTTTCTGATCGGTTCTCTGGGCGACAGGTGGTGAAAACAACATACGATGTGCGTGGGCCGCCATGTGCCAAGAAGTGGTGGACAAGCCTAACATAGTATAGTAGACATATTCCTGGTTCCGATTTCAGTCCTGTCCCGAGATTGACAATGAAGATGTCCAGACCCCAAAAACTTAAATTTTCGAGGATTCCCGTCGCGCCTCCCGCGGTTGGCGCTTCCGGCATCATTTGTTCGGAGCCACGAGAGCCCAACAACTGGGCAAGAGGGCACCGACAGGCCTCTGACCTAAAACCCAATCACGGTGGCGGGATGGGCCGAAGGACAATAAACCTGGGGCCAGCACGGAAACGGAAAGAGCGCTGCAGCAACCTGCCCGAGAGGGCTCATGGCACCCTTCTCTCTTGGGAGCCTTGCCGCTAAGAGCTTGTTGCGTCACCGCTCGTTCTTGGGAGCCTTGCTGGCAAGCGCGTTTACGTCACCGCTCGCTGCTGGGAGCCCTGCTGGAAAGCGCGTGTTACGTCACCGCTCTCAGTTCAGAGTCCTCGTGCCCAGAGATACTTACGTTGCCGCTCGCTCTTGGGAGCCTCGCTGGTACGCGCGTGCTACGCCACCGCTCTCAAATGGGAGCATTGCTCCTCCTCCTCCTCCTCCTCCTCCTCACTTCGGCCTCTTCCACTCGTATTATCAATATGATCCTCCTCCTCCTCCTCATCATCATCATCGTCAGCATCAGCATCAGCATCAGCATCAGCATCAGCATCAGCATCAGCA